ACCCAGGGATGCATCCACCCAAGCAGACACAGGAGCTGCCATGGCCTGAGAATGGGTCCTGAGGAACCTCGCTGTACCCCCACAGGCATGCAAGCCCACAGCTGGCTGGCAACAAGGGTGCTGGGTCCTGCCTCAGCCTCAGCAGGGTAACCTGCCAGCGTGAAGCAGGTGGGGGGCTTGGGGACACGGTCCTCTGGGCACTCACCTTGCACTTTTTCCCTGTTGTGGCTGAGCCAGTGCCAGAGGGGCAGGATGCCGCAGCTGCACACCCAGGGGTTGTCCTGCAGGAGGAGGGCTTGGAGCTGGGGCAGGGCGTGCAGCACCCCAGGATCCAGCTCCCCCAGCCTGTTGCTGCCCAGGTTGAGCGTGGTCAGGCTGGTGAGGGGCAGGAAGGTTTCGGGGTTCAGCACAGTTAAGTAGTTGTTGCTGAGGTCCAACTCCTGCAGCGCCCCGAGCCCCACCAGCGCCTGGCTGTGGATCAGCTTCAGGCGGTTGTGGGGCAGGCTGAGCAGCAGCAACCCCGACAGGGGAGGGAAGGAGCGCGGCCCCAGCACGGAGATGAAGTTGTAGCCAAGCCACAGGGTGCTGGTGTTGGTCGGCAGGCTCTGTGGCACCTTGCGGAGGGCATGCTCGATGCAGTCCACCTCCCCTGAGGAGCAGCGGCAGGCGGCGGGGCAGGCTGGCGAGGGCAGCGGGTGCAGGAGAAGCAGGCAGGCTAGCATGGTGCTGGGGCCCCTCCAGCAGCCCATGGCTGCCCACTGAGGTGGCGAGGGCTCCCCGACCTCCGGTGCTGGGATTCCCCCACGGACAGGATCCCTAGTGCCTGTCACCTTGCCCAGCCACCCGTCCCTGCCCGGCACCCTCGGCTGAGCCCAGCGGTGCCAGGTGGAGGTGCTGGGCAGTGCCTGGCTGCAAGGGGAGCAAGTGGATGTGCTCGACTCCCTGCAGCTGCATGCATTCCCCTGCTTGCCACCACCCTCCGTCTGCAAACCCAGAGCAGGCTGCACTCCCGGCCTCGGTTTTCCTTGGGGTGGAGCTGCACTTTTTTCAGCAAATATTTTTGCAGTGATGCCTGTCCTGGCAAGGTGCAGAGCCGTGCCCTTGTCCCTCCCTCTGCCAGGCACTGCTCCAGCCAGGTAAGCAGCCAGCTCTGCACAGCCTGGGATTAACTGCTTGTGTGTGCTGCAGGCTGGAGAGCTGGAAAAAAGCAAAACCAGATGCATCTCTTGGCTTCCATCCTCCCCACAGGGCATCACCATGGGTATGCTGCCTCACCAGCCGTGTACAGAGGGGTGTATGGACCCAGGACCCCCGCAGCTGGCTGGGGTGGGACAAAGTTAAATCATATGATCAGCAGGTCTAACCCCATCTTCTGTGCTGGCCCACCAAGCCCAGAGGTCCTCAATGGCGAGCTCTGCTGGGAGCCATGGGCCACCCTGCTGAGCCCAACCCTTGGCCAGGCTCTGTTTGCCCCTGGCAGGAGACTGTAAGCTATGCCAAAATGAGGAAGGTTGGGATGTGACTCCCATGGGCCACCTTCCTCCTCCCCAGCAGGATCACACATCTGCAGGCATGCTGGGGGACACCCAGGAGCCCCCGCATGGGAAAGGTGAGCTTGCTGGGCTGCAGCCACCCAAAACTTGTTTACCCACGCCCCAGCACAAGAGCAGCAGTTCGAGAGGGCTCAAAGTCTGCCTCCACCCTGTTTACACCTGCTCCATTTTCAAAGCTGCCTGAAGGCCCACAGCAGAAGGCTGGAGAGGAGAGGTGTCACCTCCCAGCATCCACCATCCCTGGTGGAGCTCAGCGGACGCTGGGGGAGCAGGTGACACGGCCGGCAGCACCTCATCCCACTCACAGCCCAGAGCAGGGACCCAGAGCAGAGACACCATCCTCCACTCACACCCTCACAACTCCTGTCCCATTTAGGACCCCGGAGGAATCCCTGGCACCTCTGCCCCACGACCAAAAGGCTAGAAGAGCAGCAAGGCAGCACATGGCTGCACCCCAGGCCAGGACCGGGATGTTCCCAAATCTGGGGCAGAAGCAGCAGGCAGGCAGTTTATTAATAGCATCCAGAGGAGCTTTGGTTTGTTTATCTATCCTGCAGCACTCAGTTTGCTGCATTAATCCCCATCTGGAAATAATTCAGAGGAATCCTCCAGCCCAGCCCAGCCCTGAAGCAGGGCACAAACCCGCAGCCACGTGGAGCTGCAGCATCAGCTCATCCCACAAGCAGCCGCAGGGTATATGGGGACCTGAATTTTTAGGGAGCCCTGTCCCAAAATGCTCTTCCTCCCCAGGGCTTGCATTGCCCACTGCCTGCGGTCACCTGGGATCAGGTGAGAAGTGCAAAATTAATTGGGGAAAAAAAAATACTAAAAGGCCATTTCCAGCTTTTGTGCACAGAGAGCCCAGGAGGCTGCAAACCCTCATCTCAGCTCCTCTGCCAGCCCTTTGCTGTCACCCTGCTGCATACCCCCATGGCATGCAGCAGGAGAGATGTCCCCAGCATCCTGCCTGCTAGGGACACCATGGAAGTGCAAGGCTGGTGCTGGTTGTGCCTGGCCCCACTCCTGTTTTGCATACATTGATTGCACCCCACTGCAATTGCAGGCTGGTGGCCCTTTGGGGTCCTGTACCCAAGCAGTGCCACCACTGTTCCTTCACACACGCTGCCAGTGCTTACCAGAGCATGGTTCCCTGTCACTGCCCCCTTTTCTGGAATGGGGGGACCCAGCACCCTGCAGGAAGAGCCCAGGTCCCTGTCCCCAGCCAGGGCTGCACCCACCGGTGCCCCACTCCCCCGTGGTGATGCCTCCTCCTGCAGTTGTGGACTCCACATAAAACAGCGCAGCCTGGCCCCAGGGCCAGCACCAGGAGAGGCTGCTCCGAGCACATACTCTGCAAGGACAGCTTGGGTGTTCTCTGCTCTGTGATGGAGGAGTCCTCCAAGGCACAGGGCTCAACACCAGCCCTGCTCTGGCCAAGAGGGCTAAATCAGGATGCCCAGCCAGCGTGCCAAGACCGTTCCCACAATAAAGTAATGGAGGGACAGATAAACTCCTTCAGAGCCCAGCCACTGGCTGGGAGCAGCAGGGACATGCACAGAGGCACACGGCAAGGGCCAAGCTTCACAGCTTGGTTCTGGTGCTGGGGGATTGCAGTGGAGCAGGAGTGGGAGCATGGAGGCAAAGCCCCGGGGCATAGGGACAGGGAACCACAGGTCTTTGTTACCTTCCACCACGGAAAAGCTGGGACCCAAGGTGCCAGGCTGAGCACAGAGTCCTGCTGGCGCCTTTGTACGGAGCTGTGCCCGGAGCCAGGATGGGCCCATCACACTCTTTCCACCACCACCTGTGAAGGATCTGGGGCAAGTGAGCCCCTGGGCAGCCATAGGGGTGCACAGGAAGATGGAGGGGAAGGTGCTTTAAGACTTTATGTCAGCTTTTATCCCACCCTTGTAGGCTTTAATTTACTGCATGTTTCCATGTAATTAAAGATCGGAGGCAGGCAGATGCCCACCCCAAGGAGTCCCTAAACCACACCACGCTTCTGCTGTCCCCCCTGGGCACCTCTGCCCTGGGGCATGCCTGGTGGCCTTGCTCCCATGGCTGGAGCTCCCCAGGTTGGGCTGTGCTGGGCACATCTCAGAGCTCTGACTTTTTTATAGCAGGTGACACCAAGTGGCAGAATTGTGCATGGGCGCTGTGCGTGGCGTGGGTGCCATGCACGGTGTGGGTGCTGTGTAGAGCGTGGGTGCTCTGTAGAGCATAGGTGCTGTGCACAGGGTGGGGTGCTGTGCATGGAGGGAGTGCTGTGCATGGCATGGGTGCTGGACTCCTCTGGCTGCAGCCCTGGCACCCAGTTCAGGGGACAGCCAAGCACCAGGACTGCCCAGGGCACAGGTTGGGGGTCCCCTGCTGAAACCCAAGGCGCAACCAGTGGTGCCTGATGCTGGGACATTGCAAGAGCTCATGAACCACATGGAAAACAGATACAGAAAGAGGTCTCTGAGAAAGGACTGTAAGACCTGCCCAGGCAATGCCAAGCCCTGCCCAAGAACTGTATTAACATCACCCTGGCGCACCCCAGTCCTTCTCCATTTGGCCTCTGTTAAACTCACTCCTGGCTGTTTGGGCTCTTGTTCTTGTGCTCCCTGTTCAGAGTCAGGCAGGGAAAGCCATGCAAAGACACAACCTGAAAAAACAGCAGAGGAGCTTCTCCACAGGCTGCATCCAGGTGTGCAGGTAGGGAGGTGGGGAGAGGGTCAGGCAGAAAAACCAAACCTGGCACAAGCCATGGAGCACAAGGTCAAGCAGGAACTCCTGTGGGCTCTGTCATCCTCAATTTCAACTGTCCAGCTACCCCAATGCCCAAATTTCTCATGCAATTGGCCAACAGAACAAACACTTAAAGCAAAGCAATCCAGCAGGGCAGGTCACTTCTCCCAGTCCCACCCCAACCGCAGGCAGGGCTCTCCCTGGGCTAGCCTGAGGCTTTCCTACAAATACAATCAAGACATGCAGCCCAGCAGGGCCAACACAGCGTTGTTTAATAGGCGTGAAGCTTTTGGGGTGCCACACACTCCCCGGAGCATCGTTGTGCTATGCCAGGTTCCTGTGTCCCCTGCCTGGGGGATGCTCAGCAGAGGGTGTCCCTGCTGCAGAGCCACATGCATGGAGAAACCGGGCATGAGCAAGCCCTGGGCACCAGGGGACATCCATGATGGTTGGTCCAGGTTTCTGAGTTGTCAGAGGGGTGGGTGGGCAGGATGAGGGAGTGGTGGCATCCTCCCCCCCCCCCATAGCATCCCAAATCCCAGCAGGATGGACAGCAAGCCCTGAGCAAGCTGAAGCCCTTCCCAGGCTGCCAGCACAGCCCCATCACTACTGTCCACATGTGGGCCTGGGGCATGGTGTGGGGTCCCCAAAAATGGTCCCAGACTGCACCCCAGAAGGTCAGTTGCCTTCACACTGCCAGCAGCCCCTTCCTCATGCTCAGCTCTCAAAGGCCGCCGTCACCCCACAGCACAGGCAGAGCTGGCAGCAGCTGTGTCGGGGGAACGGCACTGGAGGCACCGCGTCTTGGCACAGCACCGCCGGCTGCTGGGTGACCGCCTTCTCTTTGCATGAGCCCTTGGTGGCCAGGTCAGGCTGGGACCTGCCGGCCACCTGGGGATGCTCCTTGTCAGCCTTGACAGCAAGGAAGGTGGCCAGGTCGAGGTCGAGCATGGCAACGCCGCCGCGCGGCGTGGGCGTGTTCTGGCGGCACTGTGGGCAGGGGATCCAGCGCTGCTCATTGGCGACGGCGTCGAGGCGTTTCAGGCAGGCTTGGCAGAAGGTATGGCCACAGTAGAGCCGGCGCGGCAGCCGGCCACACAGGTCGTAGGAGGAGTAGCAGATGATGCACTCAACCCGCTGGCTGCCCCGGCTTGAGTGCACCCTGACACACAGCCCCGCGTCCTCTGCCCGGGGGCTGCCACCAGCTTGGGACATGCTGGGGAGGGGAAGGCAAGAGGAGCCATCAGACCCATGGCCCGGGTGTGGGATGCCACCTCTGAGTGCATCTGATGCCTGGGAGATATGGGGACCAGACCCATGTGGGGGGTTCCCAGGGGCATCAGGCTCCCTGCCTAACATCCCTGCCTGCCCCATGGGCAGCCCTGCCTAGAAAAGCAGGACCCTGACACTACAGATGGCTCTGCTGGCATCCAAGGGGGATGCGTTTCCCCTGGTGCCACCCTGCATCTCTGCTGGGAGCTCTGCCAAATGCCCCTTATGTCCCATGGGGGATCGGAACTGGTTGGACCTCAGCAGCCTGCCCAGGCTCTGGGTTGGTGAGGAATACGGGGTGGGCAGGAGTATGTCAGCTGGGTGAGCAGGGGAGCAGCATCCAGAGGACCAGGCAGTGCCACAGCTTTGCTCCTTGCCAGCCCCGGGCTGTGCCAGGCCGCCATGGCACCGCTGTCAGCAGCAGGGGACAAGGCAGACAGGCTGGCAGGGAGGAGTTGAGGGGTCCAGCCTTATCTTAAGGGGGGGTCTGGTACCCACCAGCATGCTTGCAAACCTCTCCTGGAGGCCACCAAGACCCCACACCCTCTCTACAGGTGACCTCAAGCATTTTGATATACAGGCATCCCTCTCCTCCCCTCCTCCCCTGTCCCCCATCCCTACCTGTCCTGAGATGCTCCCCCAGGGCCTCAGGGTAGGTGGCAGAAGAGCTGTGCCATCCCGGGGGGCTGTAGCAGTCCCATGGGGAGCATCGGGGGCCCGAGCGGCCAGCAGCTCCCCAGCCAGGTCGCAGCGGTTGCTGGTGGCTGTGGTAGTGGGAAGGGGCTCACCTTTCAGGGACAGGCACGCTATCGGATCTGCTGCCAGGAAGCCAAGCCTGGGGGATTGGCTTACAGGCACCCGGATAACAAAGACCTCTGAAATCTAAGCCCCGGCAGTGGTGATTAACCATCCATTTCTGCTTCATTAGCAGAAGAAACTGTCCCCATGAGGCCAAGGAACTCTGGGCTTCACTGTGGGCAGAGAGGATTTGGACATCTGGGCAGCAGTGGCAGAGTCTTCCACATCCTCGGCCACCCCCCATGGCCAAGAACATATGGGCAGATGTTGGCCAGCAGAGTCACCCCATCACACTCCAGCCCACACATCCCCAGGTGGTCCGGGCTATGGGGACGTCTGCAATCAGAGCGGGAGGGCACAGCGAGGCTCCAGGCTTGCAGGGGTGGAGGGGCTGGGGCTGGCACAGGGACACTGAGGTTCCAGCCTGGTCCAAGCTGGCAGTGCCCACATGTGGGGTCATGCTTCTCGTTCGGTGCCTGAGCGTGACCACTGCCATAGACGTGTCCGTGACCTGCCCTGCTCTTCCAGCTGGGGCTGCAGGCTCTTGCGTTGCAGGCTGAGTTACCCTTGGCTCTGCCAGGACCGATGCTCATCACCAGGCTGGGGACAGCCCAGCACCCCTCGGTGACGCCTGCAAGATTCATGACAATGCATGATCCAGGGGAGGTGACAGCACCAGGGCGGTGGCAGACACAGTCCCCACAGCTGCCAGCCCCCTGCCCGGCCCTTGGTGCAGCAGTAATGCCACAGCCTCCACACAGAGCGTGCTCTGGGCAGGGGAAGACTTAAAATGGGGAGTGTGGTAGGGGGATGGATCCTGGACCAGGATCCTGGAGGAGAAAAGCACATGCTGGAGCCAGGGCTGGACTGCCAGGACACTCAGCAGCATTTCTGCGTGGGAGCAGGAGAGGGCAGCAGCTCCTACTCCAGGCAGGAGCAGGCAGCAATGCAGGCAGGGAGACAGGCAGTACTCTCCTGTGCTGCCTGCTTATCAAACATTTCAGCAGCCCTCGGGCCATGTTTCCAGCACTCCTCGGCAGCAAGAATTGGGGGTTTTGGAAACGAAGAGCCACAGGGTCACCGGGCTCTGCAGAAAACTCGACCCCTTGGCGCCGGTGCTCGGGAGCAAGGCAGCAGAGCCGGCAGCGCAGCACTTTCGGGGCCACAGTGGCCATATCCTGACAGAGGATCCTGATACATCCACAGTCACAGGTTTCCCCAGGCAGTACACACAGGGTGCATGTGCCCATGGGTCCCCAGGCACAGGGATGGCACCCCACGGCAGGGTTTTGTCCTCTCCTTGCTGGGCTGGCGGCAGGCAAGGGATGGCAGGGCAGCCAGCTTGGGACAGGGCTGTGCCGGCTACCTCGGTTTTGGCCAAAGCCACTGGCAGAGGTGGGGGCAAGGGCCGTGTGCTCTGGGCAGATCAAGAACCAGCTGTGTGGGATTCCTGCTGTGCCCTGGCATCTCAGGGTACCACCCTGCATGCATGGGGGGTGGGTGGCAGCACCCTGGATGCCAGTAGCCAGGGCAGAGCTGGTGTCCAGGTGGGCACAGCGTGCTCCCTCCAAGGCTGTGTGCCCAGGGGCATGCAGGCAGCTGGATGCCGGGGGATGTCCAGGCATGTCCCAAAGCTGGCAAGAAGTCACTCTCCCACCCAAAGTACGTTGGTGGCCTGACTTCACCTGCTGCAGGGCGAGGTATGGAGCAAGCAGGTGTTGGTCCCTTTGGGCCATAGAAAGCCCTGCCCAAAAAGACTATATGGGTGGGAGGGATGGGCTTGGCTCCATGCACAACTGGGGGTACCTCTGGCACTGCCCAGGGGCAGTGCCCCCCCCCCCGGCTGCCTCTCCTTGCAGAAATGTGCAGACATACACACTCATGCACCCTGCCTGCTCTCCTACCCCACTCCAGCCCCTGTGCATCCCCTGCCCATCAGCCCTCGTGTCCGCCTCCCAGGTGCCAGCAGAGCTGCGTCCCATCGAGGGGTTGTGCCCAGCTGCCCTCGGCCACTTCTGCCCATTGCATGCAAGTCCCTGGTGCAGGGCAGTGCACCCCAGCTTACCCACTCTGCACCCCGCAGGCAGGGCTTGGGGTGGGGGGAGCCCTTGGTGGGCTGTGCATCTGCCAAGCCACGCAGGGTGACACCAAAGGGGCATGCTGCTTGAAACCAGCCTTCAGCCCCAGCTGGGCTCCATAAGCCCTGCCAAAACACCCAAACCCGGGCACAGGGAAGGTGTATCTGCAATCAGCAGCGACACGCATGGGTGGGAAATGTCTTTTCCTGTTCCCAGGACTCATCATCAAGAGCTGCAGGGACCTTTAGCACAGCAGGGCAGGGAGTGGCACCTTCAGGGGAGTGCAAAGGTCTGATCCAGATGAGCCAGAGCCATGCATCACCATCCACACTCCAGACGCAGGAGGTGGGTGGCAATCACACAGCACAACCCTCTGCACCCCTGAGCACCCTTCGAAGATGTAACACACCCAGGGCACACACATAGGACCCTGCATGCAGCTGCCCATGTCACCCAGAGCCCTGTCAAGGTCTGGGGAAACAACCTGTGCCCTCCCCTGCTCACACCCCTGGCTTTCCTGCTGCCTCCAGCTTAATCATTGCCCAGGTGTCTGGCAGGCAGCGCTCTGCCTGGCCTCTCCCAGCTTGTTTGCCATCACCCCAAGGTTAGGCAGAGCGAAGGGCAGTGGTGACACACAGCACTGCTGGCAGATGCTGTACCCTGCCAGCACCCTGCCCGGACCGGGCCAGCACATTCCTCGCACCTTGGCCCCTCTGCTGATGCCAGCCCCACTAGTCCCAGGGCCCTGCTGAAGGCACCACACACCCCTTGGGGACAGTTTTCCCTCCCCAAACCGTGTTTGTCCCCGCAGAGCGCGTCAGACCCCCAGGGCACTGAGCAGCCTCAGCGGGATGCGGGTTTCAGTCAAGCCAACATGGTGACGCCGCATCCCTGCGGCAGGGCAGTCCTGGCGTCGGGGCCACAAAAGCAAACAAGGGGTGGATCTGCCCATCCCCATGCCAGCACTGCCCGCGGTCCAGTCAGGGCGAACAAGAGCACTGCTTGTGCAGGGCAGCATGGGGCTCTGTCCCTGCCAACGTCCTCCTGAAAGCTGCACACCCTCCGGCCACCCACAGGCATGGGACCTGGGCCAGACAGAGGGGTCAGAGCAGGGGGGGCAAACTGGCAGGGCTCTGCCCTGCACCTCTGCCAAGCCACTGCCACCCCAGCCCAGAAGCTCCCAGGGGTGGTGGGATTTCAAGGGTGGTGGGCTTCCAGGCAGTGGTGGGCTCCCAGCGATGGTGGGCTCCCAGGGGTGGTGGGCTCCCAGGGGTGGTGGGATCTCAGTGGTGGTGCACTCCAAGCAGTGGTGGGCTCCCAGTGCTGGTGGGCTTCCAGAGGGTCGCAGCCAGGTGGGGCAAGGCCACAAAGCCCACCCAGCTGGCCCAGCCAGGAACCTACCCTTTCCCCAGCACCACACCCCCACCAAAGCCATGCTCTCTCTTTCCAAAAGACAGGACAGCCATCCAGCTTGGCAGGGTCAGGCTGAGCACCAGCCAGTGTCCCCAGGCGGGCAGGAGCAGGCTGTACTGGAAATTCCTGGGCGAGGGGAGCGTTGGGCCCAGGCTGGCAGCAGGGCAGCAGGCAGCAGTGAGCTGAAGAGCTCAGCGTGCCACTGCTGGTGCAGCAAGTCAGCAGTGCAACAGTTAAGCCTGGTTTTGAGGGGAGAGGAGAGGGCTGTGTGTGCCCTGCACTGCCCTTACACAACCTGCCAGGATAAGCAAGAAGTAACACGGGAATCCCGGAAAACCCAGGGTGGAGGGAAGAGGCGTACCTTGGCAGGGGAGGAGAAGGCTGTAATTCTATTTGCAGCACCCTGAAGTCATCTGCTAAAACACGCGCTCTTGCCAAGCCCTTGCCCCTGCAGACCAAGCAGTTCCTGCAGCAGCCGCGGTGCTTACGCAGCTGCCGCCTGGCAGCACAGCCGCCCATGGGACGCCAACACAACGGCGGGCTTGTTCCAGGTCAGCGGCAGCAGCCCCAGCCGAAAACCCAGCCTGGAGCCACCCCAGCATGCTGCGAAGAGGCCAGCAGGCTCCTCACTCACCTTCCTCAATGCCCAGGGGGTTGCAGAAGGCAAACCATGGGGATCTGCATCCCAAATGGGGTGCCCCAATGCCACCCCACTGTTGGAGCTGGGCCGGCCCTCCACACTGGACCCTGCCCCAGGGCGGTGGGGAGCCCCAAGCTGGGATGCGGATGGGGTGAGGGGTTGTGCCCAGTGCCCTGCAAACATGGCAGGAGGAACCGAATGGGGCCAGGGGCTTCGTGACACTGGGATCTTAACACCCACACCCACGCTGTGCCATCAGTTGCCTCCCTGGACCACTGCCCAGCACTCTGCCATGCTTTGTCTGTCTGTCTTTCCTGTCTCCTTCCCTCTGTCCCATGGGCAGTATGGTGAGGAGGAGCGGTACCCAGCCGGAGCTTGGCCCAGGGTGCTGCAGCATCCCCGTGATGCTGTGGGTGGGGGTGGCCGCTCAGTTCTGGGGAGGTGGGTCCCCATCCTGGCTGGGGACACGTCCCTGGCTCCTCTCCACCACTCCAAGACAGCGATGACGATGCGCTCCTCTGCCACGCACACAGGGCTGCCATCATCCAAACCTACCCTCCATCAGGTGGGCAGTGCCTGTACCTTCCCCAGAGTTGGAAGTTTCCCAGCAAGGGCAGACTGGCAGGGTCAGTGTACAGGATCACAGGCTCCAAGTGCTGCCCCATCCCCAGTGTAGGCACTTCTCGGTGGTATCTGCATTGGCACAGATCATCCTCAAGGCTCCCGGGCCTCAGCGGGGCAAGGGGGACTTGTCCTCCTCCCCCACGCCCCAGAATGGGCTCTCAGGACCTGGCAGGTGCCCATCACTGGCATATCTGGCTGCAGAGCTCAGGGGAGAAAAGCAATGGCAGAGTCCAGCCAGTGCCACCTCCCAGCTGCCAGCTCTGCCGGGCGCCAGGGCAGCTCCATGGGGTGCCCAGGCTGGGCAGCCACATCCCCATGTGGCCACCTGACCCGATCCCATGGTCAGCACATCCCACGGGTGCAGCAGGGCCCTTAGGAGATAACACAACAGCACTTTCTGCAGCAGGGGCAGAACTTGCAGCAGCCGCATCCCCTGCTGGCCTCGCACTCCTGGCCCTTGGGTGGTTTGTCCAGGGTGATGGTGTAGAAGGAGTCGGGCGATTCCCTGTTGGGCATCCTCAGGCTGGCATAGGGGTTGTAGGGATGGGACCAGGACTTCTCTGTGGAAATGGTTGGGCTGTTGCAGCTGCCAGTGGGGTCCGCCTGCTCCTCCACGCCGTAGGTGGGCACAGCTGCAGGGTTGGCAATGATGGTGGGCTCATCCTTCAGGTAGCGAGTGATAAAGCTTTGCTGGAACTGGTCCCGTGGGATGTTGACACTGGCATAGGGGTTCTTCAGGCTGACGCCACGATCCATGTCCCTGCTCCTTGTCAGCAAGCGTGGCCTGGCTGGCATTGCCTACCTCCCATGAGACAGAGACCCCATTAACCCAGGGTGTGGGGGGTGTCAGTGCCAGGGTTGTTCTCATGGCACGGAGAAGGGACCCCCGGCAGACCCCACTGGTTTGGGACCAGGGTGCAGAGCTGTGGTCCCCCCTCCCTGCCAGCCCCAGGGGACCCTGACATGCAGCCCGTACGCTTTGGCCGTGTGGCCCTGATGGCAGAGCCAGGAGGGGAGGCAAGAGAGGGTGACACCTGGGCAGGGAGACATGGGGGTGGGCAGGGTGCTGGCGGGGCGGGAGGGGGTGCTGGGTGGGAGACAGTGGGCAGGTAGGGCAGTGGGGTGGGGTAGGAGCTTCTGGGGGGGAGAGAGGTCTCAGAGGTGGGGGACAGGCACTGGGGAGAGGAGCAGGGAGAAAAGGGGTATGGGGGGAAGGAGAGGCAGAGGCAGGGGAAGGAGGGGACAGGACAGGGGCAGTAGGGAGAGGGGCAGGGACCGGGGCAGGCG